AGATTGGTTTGGTATATTTTGTTATACGGCATATCAACCTCAATGGGTTATTTAATGCTGACAACATTTTTAGGATAGATTCGTATGAATAGAGTATGTATTCTTTGGTTTAGATTGGTTTGGTATATTTTGTTATACGGCATATCAACCTCAATGGGTTATTTAATGCTGACAACATTTTTAGGATAGATTCGTATGAATAGAGTATGTATTCTTTGGTTTAGATTGGTTTTGGTATATTTTGTTATACGGCATATCAACCTCAATGGGTTATTTAATGCTGACAACATTTTTAGGATAGATTCGTATGAATAGAATATGTATTCTTTGGTTTAGATTGGTTTGGTATATTTTGTTATACGGCATATCAACCTCAATGGGTTATTTAATGCTGACAGCATTTTTAGGATAGATTCGTATGAATAGAATATGTATTCTTTGGTTTAGATTGGTTTGGTATATTTTGTTATACGGCATATCAACCTCAATGGGTTATTTAATGCTGACAACATTTTTAGGATAGATTCGTATGAATAGAATATGTATTCTTTGGTTTAGATTGGTTTGGTATATTTTGTTATACGGCATATCAACCTCAATGGGTTATTTAATGCTGACAACATTTTTAGGATAGATTCGTATGAATAGAATATGTATTCTTTGGTTTAGATTGGTTTGGTATATTTTGTTATACGGCATATACACCTCAATGGGTTATTTAATGCTGACAACATTTTTAGGATAGATTCGTATGAATAGAATATGTATTCTTTGGTTTAGATTGGTTTGGTATATTTTGTTATACGGCATATCAACCTCAATGGGTTATTTAATGCTGACAACATTTTTAGGATAGATTCGTATGAATAGAATATGTATTCTTTGGTTTAGATTGGTTTGGTATATTTTGTTATACGGCATATCAACCTCAATGGGTTATTTAATGCTGACAACATTTTTAGGATAGATTCGTATGAATAGAGTATGTATTCTTTGGTTTAGATTGGTTTGGTATATTTTTTGTTATACGGCATATCAACCTCAATGGGTTATTTAATGCTGACAACATTTTTAGGATAGATTCGTATGAATAGAGTATGTATTCTTTGGTTTAGATTGGTTTGGTATATTTTGTTATACGGCATATACACCTCAATGGGTTATTTAATGCTGACAACATTTTTAGGATAGATTCGTATGAATAGAGTATGTATTCTTTGGTTTAGATTGGTTTGGTATATTTTGTTATACGGCATATCAACCTCAATGGGTTATTTAATGCTGACAAAAATTTTTATTGCTAGTAATATTTTGTTTTGTCAAAAATCTGTTTCTGGTAATATATTTCCTTCAAAATTGTATTGCTGGTAATAATTTTTTTCCAAAAAGAATTGCTGGTAATAGTTAACTATGTGCCCATAGCTGGGACCCTAACAGGTGCTACCACCCCGGGTCAGGGTGGACCTGGGAACACCAGCAATTAAGAGGTGGTTCCATACTCCTCAAAACCTCCTGATCAGAGGCATTGCTACTGGACGTATTTTAACGTCTTACTCAGGACGCGGATGTAGTTTAACGTCTTACCCAGGACGATAAAGGTTTGTGGGGATTACAATATAGGAGTAACCTACAAAATATGCTCGGATTTGTTCACTATTCCTAACATTGAAACTGCTATTCACGGTTTATCGGGAGTGAAATACTTTGCTAAAATTGACCTCACATCAGATACACATTGATGAAAAATTTAAAGAATTTAAATAGGCTTACTCAGATGGATGCATATATATTCCTGTGTAAAAACAGCAAGTACTATTTTTCAAAGAGCCATTTAAAATGTACGAACTGATGATGTTAAGAATCTGATGATCTATCAAGAGGATATATGTATTGGTGCTACCTTATAAAACACCACCATATCATTGGCAATTGAATGGTTCAGACAGTGAAAATGGAATTGAAGGCATTTTACTCACTCAGAGACACCAGAGATAGTTCCTTACCGAGACTATTACTGAACTATTCCATATGCTGGTAGAATGCAAATCCCTCTGCATTGACAGGAAGACAAATCAGATCGCATAGAACAATGACATATTCAATATATGAAAAATGTACTACAAAAAAGACGGTGAATCAATCCCTGAAAAAGTTAGTTTTATTACACAAAAGAGACATAATACGGCTATAAAAGCAACAAACTAGAATTGACGACGACAAAGTCGAGATGGAAGAGAAGGAGGAACCCGAGAAAGACGAAAGCATGAATGTTTCTGATGGAGAAAAATAACCCCCAAAAACAAAACAATGGAGGATAGTTCGTACGAATCCAACATGGACAGTTGGAAGATCAGAATGAAGATGAGTCCAGACTTAGATTACAGAGAAGTCAGAGATCACTGAATGGTATAAACCATCTTTCTTTCTTGGAGGTGTAGAGACATAAGCAAAATGGACGTGTAGGAATCCTTCTACTTGTTTTTTTTGTTGAATGTTAAAATTTGGAGTGTCAGGATTCGATACATTAACAAAATATCGTTCCATGGTCGCTCGTAATTTGACCGTCTAGAATAATTACACGATTTTCATTGAAGGAATAAAATTCAGTAGAAAAGACAACGTAGTTTCAACAAATAAACATTAATTTAATATAACGACAACAATACAAGCAGTTGATGATAGATTGGAAAGTAATGTCTTTTTGTTTGGGTTAATAAAGTTCTGAAATAAAATATAAACTGTCTTTGTTGTGATATGTGTGTGTTTGTATGAAAAGTCAACACGTGTATGCGTGATTCATAGTAAAAGCGGATACAAGAGATAATTAGAAATTGTTTCTTATTTTTCTCGGTGTTGTCGTAGTCTGAAGTTTGTCAACGCTGTCGCTTTTAACATGAGGTCGTGAAGATCATAAGCGAAAGTTGCGTGGAGTTTGGTGACAGCCGCGTGTATCCCTGTTTGGGAACGGATTTCGTATGCTTTTATACACTTTTTCGTAAGAAAATCGGCCCCAGAATTAAATTATTTATTTATTCCTAATTTGGCCCTAAAAGGGCACGTGGTATGTCTTCTACTACGTCCGTACGATATTTGGTCGGTATCTACCTAAAAATAATGATGACTAATACAACAAACATTCTGATTTGTAATCTATGATTTTATTGTTGTGTTTTAAGATGTAAGTGTTTTCTTGAGTGTGATTGGTTTATAAATACTGTATTTGATATTTTAGTGGACACGACAGACTTTCCCTATTTTGCATAGAGTCGATCGACTACTAATATTTGTGCCGTCACTCGGTACACGGGTAGAACTTCTACCTCAAAGACTAGAAGACAATGCTCATTATGTTTCATACTATAAAGCGTGTAAAAATAAACTTGAAGAAAATTGTCCATCGGGGATTCAGTTTGTGATGCACAGTTGGGCTGCAACTGAATAATTTCCGATAGACTATTAGAACCCACAGTTGATTCGTAAGGCAACAATATTCCGAATGCACTTCTAAGCCTGTTATTGACAAATAAATAATTCAATACATTCCTTACTGGATATTGGAATAATTCGAAAAAAAAATTTAGCTCTTGGCGGATGTGATAAAACCGACGAATCATTATTTTTGCTTGTGCATATTCCAAAGTTGCAGAATATTAAAATATAAAAACAAATAGCCTTATAGCAAACGAAATCAGAGAAGCGTTCTACATTTCGTTTGAAGCCGATTATTTTTTTTGTAAATGTGTAATGCACGTCTTTATTATTGCTTTTGTCTGATTCACTATTTAAAAGTCCTTTAATAAAAGCTTAGAAGCTTGTTGCTTGTATAATTTCATATCTTTCCGCTCAATTTATTTACGAAAAAGAAAAAAAGAGGAAGAAAATAAACAAGGAACAATATTCATATCTACACCGAGAAGAATATTTATTAACTGCGTCAACCAATAGAATACAAATGTAACCCCGCCAGTTCATTTACAAAGACGGCAATAGCAATACTAATATATTAGCCAGTCATAAAAATGGTACCAAGAATAGCTGAGTGAAGATTACGCCACATTTTCGAGTCATATTTATAAATATTACTGTTTTAATAAACTGGTAGGCAAAGTATATTAGGTCATTTAATCATATACGTAGAACGGTTCAAAGGTCAGAGGCACAGATCAACCAACCTACACCAATCAATATTCACAAGGGAATGATACCTCTCGTACGATCACCGAAGTTAAGCAACGTCGACCCTGGGAAGTATCTAGATGGGTGACCGTTTGGGAATATTTGGTTCTATAAGTTTTTATGTGTGGTGGTCTAATGGATAACGGCTCGTAATTCAAAATCGGAGAGCCGAGTTCCAATTCCAGTCGGATTCGTTATATGTACTTTCTCGCAGATGCCCTTGGGAAAAATATGGAGTCACATCTTAGCGCCTCAATTATGAACTAATGAATAGAACTTGTAGCAGTAGATTATTATTATATAAAAAAGTTCTTTCAATCTAAAAATATTTTCTGGCTTTAAATAACCCGCAAAAAATGTGATAAGCCGTAAAAATAAATCAATCAATCAGCATGGAAAAGGTTGACAATTTACATAGGTGGGTTAATGTATCAAGTTCAGCGATAGCTGAACATTTGATTAAAACCGTTTGCGGACCGAAATGTTCATAGTGCTGAGTAAAGCTAATAACGATTATCACTTGAAGGTTTTGGAATAGTATATATTAAGTCCTATCAGCAATCTATCTGTAAGCAAAATGATTAAATTTAATTGAATTGTTTTCTATGGCTTATCAACCCTTTGCAGGTTATTTAAAGCCAAAACGTATTTTTAGATTGTAGGGATTTTTTGAGTCAATAATAGCTTAGTGATACAATTCTTACTAATTAACCTATAGCTGGGGAGAGAAGAGGTTGATTCACACCTTTCCTATGGAAATTAGAAGTCAGCTTTCCGATTAACAATTCCGAGTCATTATACATTACAGTACCTGAATATCGAAGCTTACAACACTTGATATTCCCAAACGATCACCCATCTAGGTACTGACGAGGCTTGACGTTGCCTAACTTCGGTGATCGTACTAGAGCCGCTGTTTCAATGTGATATGGTTGTAAGCCTTATTAGTAGAAGGGGTGGTTGGTGAAAATAAAGATAATTAGCCTTTACTGTTATATTATTTTTTTTTGTATATAACATTAGTCTGGGCTTGTATAGTTTTTATTGAACACGTTTGTCTTCGATTTTTAGTTGGTTGGTTGATTGATTTTTAGCCATATATCAACATCGATGTGTTACTTAATGTCGAAATCTAAATAATCTGAACACAATTTTATGGCTTCAACAAAATATATTTTGAAAGCAATTGTATGCCTTCAAGCACAGATAAAATGTACTGTCGGTCATATCACTATAAAATGCATTGTTAGTCAATTTACTATAAATAAGTATTGTTGGTCATTTTTTAAAATGTACTGCTGGTATTTTTACTATAAATAAGTATTTTTATACATTCATAGTGTTTTGTTTTTGTTTGCGGGGCTTACTATTTGCCCATATCCGAGACCCTAACAGGTGCTACCACCCCGTTTGAAAAAAATTTTCAACTATCTATTTAGATGTCAAAACAAAGCCCGAGTTAAAACTTTAGGCGGTATCAATATGTTTTATTGAAGTTATTTGATGTATTATAAAAATCTGCCGTCTGAAGTTATTAAGCAAAAACAAATAATCACAATTTATTTCAACAAAATGGTAATAAAACAATCAAAAAATGATCAACACTTATAATAGAACAAATAACAAACACATATATGTCTTTGAATCTTTTACATTTTAATATAGTGCCCTCTCTTTTCAATGACAGTCAATAATCTATTATCCATTGATTTTGTTATTTGTTTTTAGTTCAGCAAGTTCAATTTCCGACACAGTAGTTTTAATTACTCCCCATATCTCTGCTTTGCTGTTATATTATTTGCCACCTTCATATAATTTCATATTTACAATTGGCCATAGATTTTCGATCGGATTCAGGTCAGGACTTGATGGTGGTCATTCCATTATCTTCTCTCCTTTAAATCTTTTACACTCAAATAATTCACGATTAACTTTAGCTACATGAGAAGGAGCATTGTCATGCATAAATATATATAAAGGAGCACTGTCATGCATAAATAATTCAGATGTCAAAACAAAGCTTGAGTTAAAATTATAGGTAGTATCAATATGTTTTATTGAAGTTATCTGATATATTCTAAAAAACTGCCATCTGAAGTTATTAGGCAAAACCAAATAATCACATTTTATTCAATAAAAAACTAATAAAATCATCAAAAATTGATCAATACCATAACAAAACAAATAACACACATATGATAAGTCTTTGAATCCTTTATATATTAATATAGTAATCCTTCCTCTCGATAACAGCCAATAATCTATTAGCCATTGATTTTTTTAAATTTTTTTTACTCCAGCAGGTTCAATTTCCAACATGGTAGTTTTAATTGCTTCCCAAATGTCTGCTTTGCTGTTATATTGTTTGCTATCTTCATATCATTTCATATTCACAACCGTTCATAGATTTTCGATCGGATTCAGGTTAGGACTTGATGGTGGTCATTCCATTATCTTTTTTCCTTTAAATCTTTTACACTCAAATAATTCATTGTTAACTTTAGCTACATGAGAAGGGGCATTGTCATGCATAAATACACATTTCACTTTGAAATTGCGAGACTTGAACCATGCAAAGAAATTCTTGTTCATAAAATCACAATAGTTAGCACAGTTCAGTTTAACTGCTTCACTGATTTTGAATGGTCCAATAGTGGTTTGGTTGATAATTCCAGCCCATATGATAACACTACAGCCCCCTTGTGGCTTTCTTTTATCCGCAAGTCTGAATTGGATAAAATCCATCCTTTGGCCCATCCATCTGGTCCATCAAATGTCACTCAAGATTCGTCCGTGAAAATTACTTCAGAAAAGTCAATTTTCACGTATTTCTTGGCCCAAGTTTGATGCTTTAAAATATTTGTTTTAGTGCGAGGAGGTTGCCTAGGCGATGTTTTCATGGATCACAATTCACAAAATATTCTACACCATTTGTCCTTCTTGATTCCCTCAATTCCAGCTGTTTGAAAGTTCTGAGCAATGGTCAAATGTAGTTATTTCGCTATAACTCGCCTTAGTTTACGTTCATCTCGATGAAGTTCTTAAAGGCTTTTCCTTTGCTTCGAGTTCTCAACTTACATATATTTCCAATAATCTTCTTTATCATTCAATGATCTTTCCAAAGTTCCTTTGATATCTCTAATGTGGACATTCCCTCACTCAATAACATTGTTATTTTCTGTTTTTTCTTCCAGCAATTGTTAGATCCTTTCCTTTATCAATATTAGTTTAATCTACATAATATTTAGCCCATTGCGTAAATTCTAAATATCACAAAAACTAACCATTAAAAATGGCAGAAAATGTAATTAAATATTTTACTAAGGGTGGAAATGGATGAGTTTAAATTTGACAAATATTGGTTCAGAACTTATTGAGTTATTGAGGTTTATTTGATTTGCATAATAACTTCAGACAGGCTATAAGCCATACCAGGATTCGTCATTGGCAGCCACAAACTTAACAACGAAGGTTATGCAGATGACATAGTGTTGGTAGCAGATACAGAAAAGGAACCATCGAAACATATCGAAGACAAAAGGGACAGGAAAATAGTGATTAACGTAGCTAACGAGCATGTGTGAACAGATGGCAGGGCATAGATTGGGAGGGATAGCAAGGAAAGGGAGCTTGGAGAATTTAGACACTCACACGACATATCGAAATCAAAAGGGACAGAGGAAAATAGTGATTAACGTACCTAAGGAGCCTGTGTAAATAGATGTCAGAACAGAGATTGGGAGGGGTAGTAAGGAAAGGAGGCTTGGAGAATTGGACACCCACATGACATATCGAAGGCAAATGGGACAGAGGAAAATAGTGATTAACGTACCTAACGAGAGTGGGATGGATACTAAAAAGCAGATATTGCTAAGTGCTACAAAGTTGTAGAAAGCCATGATCGCTCGCAATCCGGAGAAATCGAGAAGAAAGGACTAAACATTGATTGCAAGAAGACAGAATGCATGGTTGTCAGCAAAAGCTTATGTAAATTAGAAATTGGAGTTAGGAAAATCAAGAAGTACATCAATTTAAATATCTGGGAAATTTTTAACAAAGGAGAGAAAGTGCACCGATGAAGCGAAATATGCCTTCCAAAAGCCAAGCAAAGTATCAAGAAACAGGAAAATTTCGTTAGAAATGGAGAAAAGTCTACTGAGCTATTATGTAATATCGGTCCTCCTTTACAGGAGTGAATTCTGGACAATCTCAGCACATGAAGAAGAGACTTGAAGCAACAGAATTATGGTTCTACAGAAGGATGCTGAGAATAACATGGAGCGAACATGTGAGCAAAGACGAAGTTTTAGAGCAAATAGAAACAAATGGGACACTTATACTTAACATCAGGAAGAAACAGTTGATATAATGAGGAAAAAGTAGGACATATAATGAGGAAAGATGGCTCGGAAAATTTTACACTCTCAGCGCATATTCGAAGCAAGAAAGACAACCGAGCTTGGATAAATGGTTGGTAGAACAGGGATTAGGAGAGATAGCAAGACAGACAAATCTTGATTGTGAGAGGAAAGTGAGAGGCAGATATGAAGAAGGGGAGCATTTCAGAGGTAAGTGATAGGTAGATAGGAAGATTGATCGATTTGTTTGTTTAACGGCATATCAACATCCTTATGGGTCATTTAATGCCGAAATTTAATTTTCTTGGGAGCTTTGTAGTAATTTTATGATTTTATCATGAATAGGTATTGTTAGTCATTTTACCATAAATATGTATTGTTGGAAATTTATTTATATAAAATGTATTGCTGGTATTTTTACTATAAAAATGTGTTTTCATACTTTCATATTGTTTTGTTTTTGTTTGGGGCGGTCACTATTTTCCTATAGCTGGGACCCTAACAGATGTAACCACTCCGGGTAATTAAGAGGTAGTTCCAAACTCCTCAAAATCGCCAAACTTCTGATCAGAAGCATTGCTGCCAGATGTAGTTTGTCGTCATACCCAGGACTACAAAGTAAAGAGTGCTAAAATGTTATCTAATATCAATTTTCCAATATGGAGTAAATGCTGGATGATTTCCTCGCAGATGAAGAAGAGACTTGAGGCAAGTGAGGTTATTATACAGAAGAATGCTGAGATTACCATAGACAGAATCTGTATTTTTTAATGAAAATAGGTGTTCGTTTCAATTCTTTAGGAATGACAGTAAAAACATTCCCCTACCAAAATTTATAGACAAAAAATCCAGATGCATGCTGGGATTTTTTCATAGTCAATAAGATAGACCATTTTTTATCCACCATATTTCTTTTCTTGTCTTGAAGTTAGAACACTGCAATCAATTGTCTGTATCCCTTTTGTGTGTTAACGCCATTATTAATTTGTGAGCTTTCTTTTTTGTCTCATAAATGTCGCTTTGCCTAATTTTGTCTTGCATATATTGTTTGCTTAATATTATTTTTGCTCTGTTCATGTTTTGTTGTTATTGTTTATTGGAAGACTTTGTCAATTCTGTTTGTTGGGCATTTCTTCCAATTACATTTGACCAATAGCCAATTACTCTACAATAGGGAGGAAAAAAACTCTTGTAGTTAGAATCAGAAAGAAATTTCTGGGTTGAATAATAAGGAAAGAGGAATTGGTGAATTCTTCTCACTTTCCTTTATTGTTTCGTAGTTCTTGTAATTTTCTGTTTACCACAAAAAAAAAAAAATTCATTTGACATTTAATGTACATATTTGTGTGGACATAATTACTAGAGGTCGTGTGTCTTTTACGGTTTAGTTTTGTTGAAGTTTTTGGAATACAGTTTGATTTAAGAAATTGTAGGATATTATATGGATTAATATCATGAAAGTTCTTTCATGTTGGTTGGTCGATTTTGTTTTGCAGTATATCAACCATTACAGGTTATTTAATACTGAAATCTAAATATTTTTAAGAATTTTAGGGCTTCACCGAAATATATTTTGAAC